AGTGAAGTTGCTTGGATTTAGGATGATACCGTTGCTGGAGTGGTTCAACCAATTCGAGCTGTATCGACCAAACTCCACTGTTGCTCCACTTCATAATTATTATCGCTACAGGTAGGTTCGTTCGTTCGTTCGTGTTTGCACTCGAAGTTCGAAAATTTTCACTTAGCCATAATTCACTAGAAATTTGCGAGGAACCAATTTCCTCGTGTGCAATTTGACGAGTTTGTTGAACGATTATCGATAAGTTTGATATTATATAAATTGATTAAATGTGGAAACACCACACTGTTATCCATTTTATTTCAATCGTTTTTGGTGTATTAGCGACGCACTTTTGCAAAGAGTATGTTGAAAAGTAATGAACATTTTTTTTTTGCATTTAATAAGACGACCGTTGTGAAGTTACTTGTACAAAAACATTATGCATAAGCGAGTGTAAAGTGCTCTTAAGAGGCAGTGTGTAAGAAATATAAGCAGAATGAATTCATGCTCAATGAGAATCGCCGCATCGAACAGGTTGTGAATAAATGAATGAATAAACTGCTTGTTGAAACTTGTCGATAATAAATCATCGCCAATTGAATAAAACCAACTGACTAGGTGTTTTCTTATGACAGCTATGCGCTACCGTTTGAGCAAGTGTTGGATCCTGTTGAGAAGACGATATTTTTACAAGACAATTGGCACACAACGATAACAATATCGATCACATATTTCATAATCGTGAAACTCATTCAACGCATCATGCAGCAACGAGAAGCATTCCATTTGAAGTGGCCTCTTTTCGCATGGAACGCATCACTTGCCGTTTTCAGCACAATCGGTTTCATTCGTTTCTCAGAGGTTGATATTATCTGATCGAATAAGTTTGTTCGTTCAGAGTTGCTTCGAATAGATCTGGAAAACTTCGCGAAATTATCGTTAAATCTGTGGAATTGGTAAACGAATGAGAATGGTTGAAGTTGTTGGTGTTTGAAGGATGTGTTCGAATCGTTGATTCATCAAGGAACTTATCGAACGTTCTGCTATTCGGTTCATCCGAATGATGTTGCCGCTTTTTGGGCGCTATTGTTTGCGCTGTCAAAGTTGGTTGAACTCGGTGATACACTTTTCGTTGTACTCCGGAAGAAACCACTCATATTTCTTCATTACTACCATCATGCGGCCACCTTGATTTATACGGTGCATTCGGGTAAGTTGTCATTTCATAGGCTCTCATTCAGATCCTCTTTGCTGCCCTCAAGAAATTTATCACCATTTTGATTTCCCCATCCGAAGATACACTGAGCTGCTTGCTCATCATGCCGCATTGGAGCGCAAACTTTAAGTGTATACGTTGTCATCGCTCGGCGAATGCATCAAATGACTATGAGTGAAGAACAGCTGGAATGAAAAGGCTGGAATGAATTTCAATTCGGTAAATTGTGTTTTAGGTGCCGAGAACACTGGCTCGGGACGTGCATTCATCAGTATGAATTTTTTCGCGCATTCAATCATGTACACTTACTACGCATGTACTGCGCTTGGAATTCGGCCACCAAAGTAATAAATAATATTATATCGGAGAATTTTTCTGAGTTACTGAAGCAAAAATGATTTTGAACAACCAGTAATAAAAGAAAAAATGTGACTAGAAGGAAAAAGTGTCAGAAATGTCATCTTCTCAAAGAATTTGGAAAAATGTTATGAATGATCTACAAGAGAACGAAAGAGATTCTTTTTTTTTTACTTCATAATTATTGGGTTTTTTTGCCAACATCACGAATCAGCTCAACCATGAAAAATTAGTGATTTTCACTTATTTTTACGAGTTAATGACGAATACTTTCTTGAATTAATGACGCTTTCATTGTGAGATAATACATTAAGACTCTTGTCACACTTAATTGCGGAAATGAATCCGTCTTATACACAGTAATGACACCAAGCAAAATTTAGGCTCGTTTCAATGAGCGTAACTTCTGTTCAAACTGTGCAAATGCTCCTTGGAGTTGCAGTTTCAGCGTACATCTATCACATCAAGGCCGTTGAACATCGAGCGTCAGAATTTATTTATTAATTTTTTAAAATTTCAAATTGATGATTTAATTAGAATCCTTTTCAAACTGATCACTGGATTTTATGTAAACATTCGAATAACTCTGTTATTTTGTAGAACTTTCGCAAAAAAAATCGATTATTGTGAGCATGATTTGTTGACTGTTTTTAATAATCCTCAAGTATTTTAAGCCACTTCAAAAACTGTTCTCATATCATCAATAATTTCAGATGTCAACAATCCATGAGCAATCTCTTGCTCGCGTTCATTTTGTACGTCACATTCGCAATTTTGTTCGTTAAATTCTTCATTGAAACCTACATAACAAGACGACGAAGGAAACAGAAAGCGTTGGATAAAACTGATTGATTCATCGAAACCCGTATGATGTGTCGGTCGTCTGTTTTCGATTTCGTTCGCAAAACGTTTGCATGTTGTCATCGACTGAGGTGCTAAGCACATCCATCGAATCTCATGATCAAATAATCTGTCAATGGTGCTAATCAAATCGCTCATAACAAACGTTGCCTTAGTGAACTCGAATGAGGAGGCTTCAACTTTTAATTCTGTGTTAAACCTGCAAAGTTATTGCTAGCTGTGAATAAAGTGATTCGTTTAAAATCCCAATAGCGGATGTTCTAATGCAAGAAGTTGAATTCTCAAAATTGTTCAGAACAAAGACTTCTAGTGAACCAGATGGATGAATGATGATAACCTCGAAGAGCATGCTAGATTCGGAGAATCGNGATTCGGAGAATCGATTCGGCTAGATTCGAGTGGTATGAACCGCTGTCGCTCGAGCTGTTCAAAGAAGCTAATAGAACAATTTCTGAAGGAGTTAGAGCACGTGAAAATTATTAGTGAAACACTAGTTTTCATGTGAACTTGAAGTATGTACGTGAACAATGATTGGATTCGTAATATTACTGAAATATTACTGACAGAGCAACCTTGCAACATTCAGTGAAAACTGTTTTGATTGATGAATCTAATATTTTTTCGAACGGAAAACTCGTCGATTCGTCGAAAATAACTGCTATTCAACATTCGGGGAAGTGAATTATCATAATGATTTCTTGCATCAGCGAATTGTAATGCAAGTATGCCTCAGCAAATGAATGGAGAAACGTAAAACATATTGTTAATCTAAAAGAAAAAACAAAATTAAAGAAGTTTTTCGGACGAAAACAAGTTTCTTCTATCACTTGCTGAATTACCAAATAAAAGCACCGAAAAGAGCACTTCAGAAATTGTGCTCGATTATGGTGTGTTCATGGTGCGAGCATTCGTCTGTCTTATCATTTTATTATTTGAAAGCTGGTTTGGCTCATCCGTAATTTTATGATTAATTCTGTTGTCTCATAATCATTTTTGTATTCACAAATGAATTTATGAGCAAACATGCGCTGAATGTGGACCGTTTTCTTTGTTGTATTCATTTTTCATTATTAAAACGTTGTATAATTGATGAGCTGCTTGTAAATAAATAATTTTTTGCTTCAGTCTCCTGTTAAATTAGAAAGCCGCATGAGAACTTGGTGAGCATTAAGCAAAAAGAATATCATATGGGTCCTTTCAATTGCGATCGAATGTGCCTATTTAAGCAATGTCTGTAAACCTTGTGGACACCGCTTTAGATAGCAATATTGAAAGTTAGCAATTACGAGGACTGACATTATCAGTAATAAGAAAGAGGTCCATCTGATTAAGCTGAGTGATATTCAGCTGAAAAAAAAAACGATGCGCAGCTAAATCATATAAGAGTCTTGAAACCAAAGGTACTAGTGCATCCGATTCAATGCAACAATAGTCAGTGTTTTACTGAACCTCA